GCAGGGCACTGGGCGGGCGGAGGCGCAGGCAGGGAGGCGTCCCTGGCGGTTTCCAGATCTCGCCAAAAGCTGTCAAGGCTCTGCAGGGGGTAAAATGTCTCCATTGCTAAGGAACGGACATGGATTTAGAGGTCCTCAGAATTACAGTTTTAGGGACATTAGGGACATTCATAAGGGCCCAGGCAGAGAGTTCCAGCGGGACTGTGTGCATCGGCAGGGCGTGCCTGCCTCATTCTAAGGGAGCCCCCAGCCCCCGTATTTAGTGCCGCCCAGTTCAAGGGAAGCAAGATGCTGTGAAACTTCCTGATTTAAGAAAGAAGTGCAGTGACGCACGCCTGTCATCCCAGCAGTTTGGGAAGCCGAGGCGGGAGGATCCCTTGAGTCCAGGAGTTCCAGACCAGCCTGTCAACATGAGACCTCATCTCTATAAAAACTAAACAAAATCAGCCGGGCGTGGTGACACACAACTGTCGTCTCAGTCACTTTGGTGGCTGAGGTGGGAGGATCGCTTGAGTCCAGGAGGTCGAGGCTGCAGTGACCCGTGATCGCACCACTGCACTGTAGCCTAGGCGACAGAGTGAGACCATATCACAAAAAAAAAAAAAAAAAAATTTTTTTTTTTTTGTGGGCCAAACCAAACATTTCTGGACTTGGCCCAGGCCCCAAGCTGCAGGTCCTTGGCCTGTTTGTACAAAGTATTACAGTTACAAAACAGCGAGCCGGCAACATTTTCCAGGCAGTGTTGGGCTGAGTGATAGGGAAAGGGAATAAGGTTTCTGCTGGTGCTGGCACCAGCTGCGTCTTTCCTCAGAAATAAAGGCACCTCCATGGGTTGTCAGCTTCTTTAGGAGGCTGTGATGGTCCCCATGGGAGGCTGAGCACCAGTTGTGAGGCAGTGCAGTGGCCAATCTTGGCTCACTGCAACCTCTGCCTCCCACGCTCAAGCAAGTCTCCTGCCTCAGCCTCCTGAGTAGCTGGGACTACAGGCACTCGCCAACACGCCCAGCTAATTTTTGTATTTGAGTAGAGATGGGGTTTCACCATGTTAGCCAGGCTGGTCTCTAACTCCTGACCTCAAGTGATTCACCTGCCTCAGCCCCCCAAAGTGCTAGGATGACAGGCATGGCCACTGCACATGGGCAATATTTTTGTTTGTAATGTTCTGCTAGTGTCAATGGAGCTGCTTTCCAGGAGGATGCCCTGGCACTCAGGGAATCCTGTCGCAGCCCTTCTGTACCCCATCTGCCGCCCCCAGCACCCACACTGCTTGGTGTGCTCCTTGGGCTGGAGTGGTACTGAGGCTAAGGGGAAGGGGAATATCGCAGGAATCTGCTCATATAGAAATCTCAGTATATTGTACCTGAGGAGAATGATCTGGAAAATGCCCAGCTGATTGTCAGACGGGTGATAGGATATCCTTGTACAGTGAAACTATAGTTTGGGCAGTTTCTCTGGCTGTGGAAATAAGGTCAGAGTCCCCATTTAGATGGGCCCTGGAGATGTGTGTGTCTGTCAGTTGGAGGGTGCTGCCCATTTCTGGATCCCTTTTGGGAGAAGCCCCTGCCCTCGCACCTATCCCAGGATTGCACTGTCCCCTGCCACCTTCTGTGGTTTCTTCCCCCTGTAGAGCGGAACTGAAGGTATTGTCAAGGCCCCCATGTATTTTTAGATTTAGTAGGAGTTTCATTGCTGAAAATACTTTTGCGTTGGTCGACTGGGTGGTAGACGCTTTTGTCCCTTGGCCACCCACTCCTCCCACCTCCTGGGCCCCTGTGGCAGAGTCCTTTGGGTCAGTTGCATGGTGGTTTTGTATCCTCCACACTTGAATCTGGTGCAGTTGTGGCCGGCTTTCCGTCTCAAAGGAACTGCTGATTCTTGTGCATATCTCACATTCGTGCCATTCAAGAGCAAGTATTGGTTTTTTCTGAGACAGAGTCTCACTCTGTCGCCCAGGCTGGATTACAGTGGGGCAAGCTTGGCTCACTGCAACTTCCACCTCCCAGGTTCAAGCGATTCTCCTGCCTCAGCCTGCTGTCAAGTATTGGTTCTTTCTGGCTAGAGGCTGAGAAGGGCTGTAACTGCATGGAATGCAGGCTTGCTTAATCAGTGGTGGCAACACAGCTTGCTGGAGGGCAGATGGCCAGGCTGGGGCACCCCCAGTCTGCGTTCCCTTCTTCATGTTCTGTCCGAGTCCGGGGTGTGAATACCCCAGAACTAGCAGCGGTTTGCCTCACAGTCACAAGCTGGCCATCCTGTCCTTTTAGAGTTCTCAAAAAAGAAAATAGAGATCATAAGTCTGAAACAGTTGATTTCCATGAATGTGAGCATGAGTCAGTTCCTATGTTTTCCTTAGGGATATATGAAGATATTCCTTTTGGTTCTTTTTTTTTCTTTTTCTTTCTTTCTTTTTTTTTTTTTTATTAACAGGTTCTTGTCTTGTCACCCAGGCTGGAGTGCAGTGGCACAGTCATAGGTCACTGCAGCCTCAACCTCCTGGGCCTAAACCTCCAGAGTAGCTGGGACTACAGGCACGCACCACCAGGCCTGACTAATTTTTAAATTTGTAGAGACAAGGTCTTGCTATGTTGCCCAGGCTGGTTTCAAACTCCTGTCCTCAAGCAGTCCTCCCACCTCAGTCTCTTAAAGCGCTGGGATTCCCGGCAAGAACCACTGTATCGGCCGGGCGCGGTGGCTCACGCCTGTAATCCCAACACTTTGGGAGGCCGAGGCAGGCGGATCATGAGGTCAGGAGATCGAGACCATCCTGGCTAACACGTTGAAACCCCCTCTCTGCTAAAAATACAAAAAATTATCCAGGTGTGGTGGTGGGCGCCTGTAGTCCCAGCTACTCAGGAGGCTGAGGCAGGAGAATGGCGTGAACCTGGGAGGCAGAGCTTGCAGTGAGCCGAGACCGCACCACTGCACTCCAGCCTGGGCGACAGAGCGAGACTCCATCTCAAAAAAAAAAAAAAAAAAAGAACCGCCGTACCTGGCCAGGATATTCCCTTTCAAAGGAACCTAGAAAGGCTGGGAAGCACTGCATTTTGTGCGTCCTGTCGTGGAGGGCCTGGCGCAGACACCAACTGAGTTGTGCTCTGTGTCTGCAGGTCCAGCCCTGCTGGGAGTTCTCCTCCACCACACAGATTTGCGGAAGAATCTGACTGTGGACGAGGGCACCATGAAGGTGGAGGTGCTGCCTGCCCTGACCGACAACTACATGTACCTGGTCATCGATGATGAGACCAAGGAGGCTGCCATCGTGGACCCGGTGCAGCCCCAGAAGGTGCGCATGGCTGTGCCCGGCTCTCTCTGCCCTCATCATCCAGCTCGGAGTTCTCACCCCCGATGGGTTTCCTAACCGCAGTGTTCTTGCAATTTTGCCTAAGCTAAATGGAGATTAGTCGCCAGCCACTCTGTTACAGGGCCCCACAAAGCGTGGAGGCAAGAGGCAGTGACACAGAAAACGCTGTGCCGTAAAATCCCCGGCACTTGGCTCTTCTTGGAGGCTTTCTGCCCCTGCAGGCGCCTCTGGGGGTGGTGGCGTCAGAGCTAGAGGGGCTTGGGGCAGTCGTAGGTAGTTGCAAGAGTCAGGCTGAGCAGGAAGGAGAAGGTGCTTTCACTGGCTCTGCTGGAGCAGAGCAAGCCGGCAGGATCAGGACGGGCCATGTCAGGGGCCCCTCCTGGCATGTCCTGGGTTCCGCTGGGCACCCTACTGTGTAGGCCGGCGAGCCAGGCCTGGGAGTGTGACGGGCCTTTGTCCTGCCCTGGGGTCACTACAGGTCGTGGATGCGGCGAGAAAGCATGGGGTGAAACTGACCACAGTGCTCACCACCCACCACCACTGGTAAGTGCTGGCGCCACGGGTGCCCACGGCTCCCCTAGGGGTGCGGGACCCGGCTCACTTCTCGCCCTGGTGGGTTTAGGGACATCGAGACCTGTCTCCCTCCACGGCTCTGTCTGCTGTGTGAGGATAGGCCCCCAGCAGACTTCTGAGAAAGACCCGGGGCTCACCGTCGCCCCCAAGGGGCAAGTCTGGTGCTGCAGTGACTCTGAGGCCCTAAGGCCTGCAGGGTGAGGGGAGAAGGCTACAGCCTTACCCTCAGGCCCCACCCCCCTGCTCTCTCCTGGGCCACGCGGGCACAGCCCTGGCACGTTGGCCTCAATGTTGGGGAGGAAATGACTTTACAGGTGAGTTTAAAAAAAACAACAAAAAACAAAAACCAAGCAGCCGGCCGGGCACAGTGGCTTATGCCTATAATCCCAGCATTTTGGTAGGCTGAGGTGGGTGGGTCACTTGAGGTCAGGACCAGCCTGGCCAACATGGTGAAATCCAGTCTCTACTGAAAATACAAAAATTATCTGGGCGTGGTGGCAGGAGCCTGTAATCTCAGCTACTCGGGAGGCTGAAGCAGGAGAATCACTTGAACCCCAGAGGTGGAGGTTGCAGTGAGACGAAACTGTGGCATTGCACTCCAGCCTGGGTGACAGAGCGAGACTCCATTTCAAAAAAACAAAAGACAGGGGCCGGGCACGGTGGCTCAAACCTGTAATCCCAGCACTTTGGGAGGCCGAGACGGGTGGATCACGAGGTCAGGAGATCAAGACCATCCTGGCTAACACAGTGAAACCCCATCTCTACTAAAAAATACAAAAAAAACTAGCCGGGCGAGGTGGCGGGCGCCTGTAGTCCCAGCTACTGGGGAGGCTGAGGCAGGAGAATGGTGTGAATCCAGGAGGCGGAGCTTGCAGTGAGCTGAGATCTGGCCACTGCACTCCAGCCTGGGCCACAGAGCGAGACTCCCTCTCAAAAAAAAAAAAAAAAAAAAAGACAAGCAGCCTATCTGGAGAGGTTGGGTTTTTTAAAATCCTTGAAAATAGATGAATAAAGCGCTGTGTCTGGGTTCTAGGGCTGGCATGCCTGCTCAAGGCCCTTGTTCGGCTTTTGGAAATTTCTGAGGCTCTTCAAAGCTAGAAAAAGTGTTTATTTGGCTCTTTCTTCTTTTTGCCAAGCAAGCATCCGAGGGCAGGTGGCACCTTTCTCCTGAGCCGGGACCCGTCTGGCACTGCTTTAGGGCCTCTGAACTGTGACTTCCCCAGCCTCTGTGTCGGGGTGAAATGAAGCCTTTTTTCCTCTGCTTGGTGGTGGGAGCGCCGTGCTGGTGGCCTGGCCAGGGTTTGATGGAAGCGTCACGGTTCACACACAGCTGGACTCAGGCCTGGAGAGTCTCAGGCTCTGTGAGTCGGGCCTCACAAGCCTCTGCGGGGTCATCAGAGGTGTCCATGCAGGGACCTGGGCTCGAGGGGCGGTGCTGGCAGCCTCCCTGGCCCTTGTCCTGTGTGGCTGAGCTGCTGTCTCTCAGCACATTCGCCTGCCTGTCGTGCGAGGCCCCTGCTGCCACCATGCCTCCTCCAGGGAACCCTGGTGGTGGCCTCCGTGTGGCTGCCTGGCGCATTACAGCTTGTTGCAGCTCCCTGCCTCTCCTGGCCTCGCTGCAGACGTCTCTTTCTAACACTGTGGTGCTTTTTAGTTCCCCGCCCCTCTGACGTTCATGCCGGCACGTGAAGTCCTAAGCCAGGCCCTAACTTCAGCGGGGTGGGGTTTGCTCACTGGTGGTGGGTGGTGATGGGCAGACCGAGGCCTGTGTGCTGTGCCCTCCTGAAGGGTGGGAGGGGCAGAGGGCTGCAGCCACCACTCCACCCTGTTATCTTGGGGCCCAGTGGTGCCAAGGCGGGTGGTTTCTGGTGTGGTCGCTGGAGTTTTCATGGAAGGCACATGAAGGAGTCTGTGATGTCATGTAAGGCCCGGGAAGGGCCCCTGCGACCGCCCCTATCTGAAATGCAGGTCAGGCAGGTTCCCCTGGGCAAACCCGGGCGCGCAGGAGGCACCTCCACCTGCTGTGCATCACAAGGCCTGGTGCTGGCCCAGGCTGGCCTCCCCTGCAGACAGACCGCCTCGGGCCAGCTGCTCATCCCAGACGCACCCCAGGTGATTCCCATGCTGAACAGTTTGATCTTCTGCCAGAGTGTCGGGTCACAAACTGGGCAGCACATCAGGATCAGCTGGGGGCTTTCAAAACTAAAAAACCCCACCCCCAGGCGCTCCCCAGACCCACTGCACCAGGACGTGGGGGTGGAACCAGGTGGTGCTTTGTAAAGACGTCCAGGTGATAACCCCAGGCCCCCACGCCCGGAACCCAGGCCACAGGATCATCCAGGTGTCTGTGATTTGCTTCCTCGGCTTCCTTTGTGTGTGCAAAATAAGCGTCCCGTTTGACCAGGGTTTAAAAGCAGCAGGCAGCCCCCTCAGCTCAGCAGGCAGCCCAGGTCTCCCGTTTGACTTCCAGGGACCATGCTGGCGGGAATGAGAAACTGGTCAAGCTGCAGTCGGGACTGAAGGTGTACGGGGGTGACGACCGTATCGGGGCCCTGACGCACAAAATCACTCACCTGTCCACACTGCAGGTAAGAAGTGAGCCCTGGAGGTGCTCCAGCGTGGCCCTGCCAGGAGCAGTGGGGGCCTCCCTGTGTCCTCTCTGCTCCCTAACCCGGTGACCCGGGAGTGCTCCCAGTGGTCCTCTGGGTAGCATGGACGGTCTTCTCTGTCTAGGCACAAGGACAGGAGTGTGCAAAACACGGCCGTGTGCGGGGCTGTGAAGCAGGGCTCCGAGACCCTGGGGCGTGGGCCACGTGGGCGGGGTCCCGGTTCGAGAGCGCAGCACACAGGCGGGAGGCCGCTCTGAGGGGGTCTTCAGCCTTTTTGAAGGTGTGAACATTTTTGAAGTAAAGAATTGGGGCAGATGGGGACAGAGGAAAACAAAAGGTCATGTGTGGGAAGGAAAGCCGTCTTTCCTAGCCAGATGCCGAGCGTGGATTCGGCCCAGTTTTGAAGGAGAAAACAAGCCCCTTGGTGTTTTACATGCAAGCGCTCTTGTTCCAGGGTGGCCCAGCACTTGGGGCGCGCCCATGGAGTGAGTCCCCCAGTCCCGTGGCGGGGAGCGCCCGCCCAGCCTTCACAGGCATTTCCCTCGGAGCTGAGGAGGCCCCGTAGGGCCCAGGCTGCGCGCCGTGACCCCGGGCGACGCTCTCCAGGGTGTCTGGGAGCACACGCGGTCGCTTGCTTTGTTTAAGGTGGGGTCTCTCAACGTCAAGTGCCTGGCGACACCATGCCACACTTCAGGACACATCTGTTATTTCGTGAGCAAGCCCGGTGGCTCGGAGCCCCCTGCTGTGTTCACAGGTGCGTGTTCGGGTGTGGGGGGCGGTGGTTCTTTGTGAAGACCCTGTGTCTCCTGCTGGGCAGGCTCACGGGGGCAGCTTCATGGCCTTCTCCTGCGCCACTGTGAGGACCCGGGGTGGGTGCTGGGAGCCTCGTGGTGGGACTGGCCGTTTCCTCCTCCGACGGGTTTGGATCGTGGTCTGGAAGGAAGTTACGCCTTCTGCAAGGGCTGTGCTGGCGGAGACTGCTGGACAGCTGGGGTCCTGGCGGATCCCACAGGAAAGGAGTCAGTTTCTTCTGGCAGGGCGAGAGGTGGCTCAGCCCTGGGGCCGTGTTCTCGATGCCGTAGTGTGGACTCGGGGACCTGTGCCAGTCTGGGGGCCCTGCCTGCCTCCCAGGGTTGTTGCAGACCACTGGAGGTCATATGGCCAGGGGACGGCCTCACTGTAGGCCGGGCCCTTCGTGGCTGCGACCTTCAAGGTGGTGTGGAGGCTGCTGGGGGCGGGGGCTGCCTCCCATGCTTGTTACTGTCGTCTGGTCCCGACTGGCCTCACAGTGCGGGGTTTCACCCGGTGACTCGGTGTGGGCCTTGCACGGCTGGGAGGCCTCCTGGTAGCCCAGAGCCACACTCGGGCCGTATCCCCCGCCGTGGGTGAGAGGTGGTTCCGGTCAGCTCAGCCAGGGTGGTGAGACCTTGGTCACGGGGTGGTGCTGGCTGCTGGGGCCGAGGGAAGACGGGAGCCAGGCACGGGCCTGAGAGGGGCTGCTGGGTGTTCGGGGAGAGGGCTGGGTTTGGGAGGGTCTCAGAGCCACAGTTGGTGGGACTAGGGGCTGGGAGGGAGGAGTGACTGGGTTTCGGGTCTGCACGGCCAGTCGGGTGGTTGGCACTGTCAGCTGAGACTTGGAAGGAGGTGTGGGAGTCAGAATGCAGGGTGCTGAGTCTGGGCAGCCGTGGCTGGAGGGCAGCCAGGGTTTGGGGCCTGGGCCTTGCTGGTGAGTATCATCCTGCTTCTGGCCCCCTCCTGAGTCCCAGCCACCAGCCTCGAGTGGCCCCCACCTCATGGCTGTCCTTGTTTCCAGGTGACACCTTGTTTGTGGCTGGCTGCGGGAAGTTCTATGAAGGGACTGCGGATGAAATGTGTAAAGCTCTGCTGGAGGTCTTGGGCCGGCTGCCCCCAGACACAGTAGGCAGCGCCTCCCTATGGGCCGGGGTTTGGAGGGCCTCACCCAGGGCGGGCCCGCTCTCCCTTCTGGCACCCACTCACTGGACACCCCCCCGGGAGGGTCCAGGTCCCGTCCCTGAGGACTTCCACGGGTGGTAACAGCCTTCTGAGCTCAACTGTCGCCTGTTTCCTCAGAGAGTGTACTGTGGCCACGAGTACACCATCAACAACCTGAAGTTTGCACGCCACGTGGAGCCCGGCAATGCCGCCATCCAGGAGAAGCTGGCCTGGGCCAAGGTGAGTGGGGCCGTCACTGTGCAGTGCTTTCCTGTGGGCTGCTCAGGGCCACTGTGCACGGCGGGGTCGCCAGAGTGGGTAGACAGCCACCCCTCTGAGCCCAGAGAGCAGGCCTGGGACTCAGGCCAGTGTGGCCCAGCTCGCCCTGCATGGCCAACCCAGGGTTCCGTTGAGATCCCTCTGCCTCAGACGCTGCATGTCTAACACGTGCCCGGCCTGTTCCCATATTCTGAGCAGTGGGGTCAGGCTGGCACCACGTGGCTCTGCTGGCTCTCCAGGCCACAGAACGTGGCTCTGTGTCCAAAGGACTCTTATCTCCGTGATGGCCCCACGTGAGCCTCCACAGCGTAGCCCAGGCCGCTGGGCCAGGACTGCAGGAGCCGGCGGGGCTCTCCAGGGGTGTTTCCCCGATTCCCTGGAAACGCTGTCGGAAGCACACACACCGGGCGTCTCAGGCGTGGCTTCCCTCTGCTGAGTGGAGAGTCGCTGCCTTGAACAGGTTTATTGTTTTAAATAAATCACTTGCTTTTTGTTGAGCATCTTTTTCCGTTTAGAGGTTTATGTTATTTTAAAATATTTACTCATAAAAATTGAAACTCTAAATCAGAGGAATCATAAATATTCATCTTTTTTTTTTTTTTTTTTTTTTTTTTTTTTTTTTTTTTGGTGACGGAGTCTCCTTCTGTTGCCCAGGCTGGAGTACAGTGGCGTAATCTCGGCTCACTGCAACCACCACCTCCTGGGTTCAAGAAATTCTCCCTGCTGGCCTGGCGCGGTGGCTCACGCCTGTAATCCCAGCACCTTGGGAGGCCGAGGTGGGCGGATCACAAGGTCAGGAGATCGAGACCATCCTGGGCAACATGGTGAAACCGCATCTCTACTAAAAATACAAAAAATTAGCTGGACGTGGTGGCGTGTACCTGTGGTCCCAGCTACTTGGGAGGCTGAGGCAGGAGAATCGCTTGAACCCAGGAGGCAGAGGTGGCAGTGAGCAGAGATGATGCCACTGTACTCCAGCCTGGCGACAGAGCGAGACACTGTCTCAAAAAAGTCTCCCTGCCTCAGCCTCGAGTAGCTGAGATTACAGGTGCCGCCACCACGCCCAGCCAGCTTTTCTATTTTTAGTAGAGATGGGGTTTTGCCATGTTGGCCAGGCTGGTGTTGAACTCCTGACTTCAGGTGATCTGCCTGCCTCGGCCTCCCAAAGTGTTGGGATTATAGGCATGAGCCACCGCGCCTGGCCTGTGTGTCTCTTTGGAGTGGGCAGGTTGCAGTTTGAGGAATGTTGATGATGTTTGCACCTGTGCAGTCCCCTCCACAGTCCAGATGTGGAACTTTACCCCAAAGGCTTCTGTGCCCCTCCCATGTGGCGTCCCCGCCAGCTGTTGCTCTGCTCTGACCTCGGGTCACTTTCTAGAGATTCCCATGAATAGAAGCACATTGTTCTGTCGTCTCTGTGGCATTCTCGGCCCCGCCAATGTTGGTGAGGGTCAGCCATGCTCTTTGCCTCTGCGTAGCCCATCGTGTTTTATCCATTCGTCTGTTTCCAGTTTTTTGCTATTTGAATAAAGCTGCTATGAACATTTGTGTACAAGTCTTTTTGTGGATATGTTTTTATTGCTCTTGGGTACCTACCTAAGAGTGGAATTGCTGTGTTGTGTGGTTAAATGTATGAACCGTTTTCCCAAATGGTTGTACCGCTCTGCAGTCCACCACCAGCGTGTGAGTTCCAGGGCTCCACACTGTGCCAGCACTGCATTGGGTCGCTGGTCTCTGTAATTTTTGCCATTCTGACTTGCATGTGGTGGTGTCTCACTGCCTTTAAGATGTATATTTCCCCATGATGAACAGGGTTGACCATCTTTTCATGTGTGTGTTGGCCTTTGGATGCCTTCTTGTTATGTTCAATCTTTTGTCTATTTTAAATATTGGATTCGGCCTGTTGGGTTGCTCTTGTAAGAGTTCCTTATATCATCTGGAAGATACATATTTAAAAGATGGTTTTCTCTCCCAGCTCATGGCTTGCCTTTTCATTTTCTTAACATTGTCTTTTGGAAAATAGTTTATAGTTTTGGTGAAGTTCAATTTATTCATTTCTTTCTTTTCTTTCTTTCTTGAGATGGAGTTTCACTCTTGTTGCCCAGGCTGGAGTGCAGTGGCCGGATCTCAGCTCACTGCAAGCTCCGCCTCCCGGGTTAACGCCATTCTCCTGCCTCAGCCTCCCAAGTAGCTGGGACTACAGGCGCCGCCACCTCGCCCGGCTAGTTTTTTGTACTTTTTAGTAGAGACGGGGTTTCACCGGGTTAGCCAGGATGGTCTCGATCTCCTGACCTCGTGATCCGCCCATCTCGGCCTCCCAAAGTGCTGGGATTATAGGCGTGAGCCACCGCACCCGGCCAATTTTGTATTTTTAATAGAGACAGGGTTTCTCCATGTTGATCAGGCTGGACTCGAACTCCCAACCTCAGGTGATCCGCCCACCTTGGGCTCCCGAAGTGCTTGGGATTACAGGCGTGAGCCACCGCACCGGCCACTCATTTTTTCTGTTATGTTTCTTGTGCCCTAAGAAACCTTTGCGTACCCCTAGCTCACAAAGATTTTCTCCTGTGTTTCTCCCTAGAAGTTTTAAAGTCTTAGCTTTTATATTTAGAATTTACAATGTTTCCTTTCAAGATGGTGTTTGTGTTTGTGTGTCGTGCGAGGTGAGGGTAGAGGTTCACCCTCTCGCAGTGTGATCCCGACATGTTTAGCGCTGTCTGTCGAAGGACTGTCCTTTCTTCCCTGGATTGCCTTGGCACCTTTCTAAAAAGAATGGACCCTCCATGCCTGAGTCTGCCTCTGGTCTCTGCTCTGTTTCGTTGGTCTGTATGACTTGCCATGGTGTCCGAGCACAGCATCTTGATGACTCTAGCTCTATGCTGTCTTGACATCAGTAGTGTAAATTCTCCAGTGTTCTTTTTCAAAATGGTTTGTTGTTTTAAACCTTTTGCATTTCCGTTTTTAGAATCATCTTGTGAGCTTCTACCAAGCTAGCTAGCTTGGCTTTTGATTGGGACTGTTGTGATAACTGATTTGGAGAGAATTGAGATCTTAACATTGTTTCTGGGAGCTTTCCATTTATTAAGGTCTTTAGCTTTTCTCAGCAGTGTTTTTGAATTTGCGTGTTCAAAGTCTTGCGCGTGTTATTCAATGATCGCTAAGCACTTCCAGTCGTGATGATTTGTTGATACTAGTTGGAAACACAGCGGATGCATATTTTAACTTCCTTGGTGTCTTAGTCTGTGTGGTGTTGCTATAAAGGAATACTTGAGGCTGAGTGACTTACGAAAGGAGGTTTAGGTGGCTCACGGCTGTGCAGGCTGTAAGCAGCATGGCCTGGGCGTCTGCACCTGGCGAGGCCTCAGGCTGCTGCTGCTCATGGCAGAAGGGGAAAGGAGCTAGCTGGTGGTGCGAAGCGTGTGGCCAGAGGAAGGAGAGAGTGGGGGGGCACAAGGTTCTCTTTTTTTTTTTTTTTTTTGAGACGGAGTCTCGCTCTGTAGCCCAGGCTAGAGTGCAGTGGCCGGATCTCAGCTCACTGCAAGCTCCGCCTCCTGGGTTCACGCCATTCTCTTGCCTCAGCCTCCCGAGTAGCTGGGACTACAGGCGCCCGCCACCTCGCCCGGCTAGTTTTTTTTTTTTGTATTTCTTAGTAGAGACGGGGTTTCACCGTGTTAGCCAGGATGGTCTCGATCTCCTGACCTCGTGATCCACCCGTCTCGGCCTCCCAAAGTGCTGGGATTACAGGCGTGAGCCACTGCGCCCGGCCCACAAGGTTCTCTTAAACCACCAGTTCCTGTGGGAACTAACAGCAACAACTCACACTTGGAGCAGGGCAGCCACTCACAGGGGACCCCCATCCAAACACCTCCGTTAGTTGGGGATCAGATTTCAGCATGCATTTGGAGGGACGGACATCCCAGCCGCAGGAGAAGGGAGTGGCCAGGCTGGACGGGAGGTGTGTTTGACTTTTAAAGAAACTGCCAAACTCCCCTTGCCTGGTGCTTGTGGTGTTTGCTTTCCTGCCAGGACGGCGTGGTCCTCCCAGCACGCAGGCAGTGGAGCCAGCCTTTTGGGAGGTGGTGCCGGAGCCCAGTCCCTGGTGAGACGCAGCCTCCTGCCGAGCTGCTCCCATTCTGCAGCCTCTGGTTTTCTTAGCGGTATCTTTTGAGCAAACATTTTTAATTTTAATGAAGTCTAATAGATTCTTTTATGGGTCATTCTTTTTTGTCTTCCATCTAAGAAATCTTTGCTTCTCCCAAGGTCAAAACATTTGCTCCTGTATTTTCTTTTTGGAATTAGTATAGTTTTAAAATTTAGATCAGTATGAATTCCCACCCACCAAATGTCTGCTGGATCTGGAATGATATTCTTGCTTTCATTCCTGATTTTGACAATTTGTACCCTTTTTTTTGTTTTTTTGACAGCGTTTTGCTCTTATTGCCCAGGCTGCAGTGCAGGGGCGTGATCTCGGCTCACTGCAACCTCTGCCTCCCGGGTTCAAGCGATTCTCATGCCTCAGCCTCCCAAGTAGCTGGAATTATAGGCGTGTGCCACCATGCCTGGGTAATTTTTGTATTTTTAGTAGAGACGGGGTTTCACCATGTTAGCCAGGATGGTCTCAAACTCCTGACCACGTGATCTGCCTGCCCCAGCATCCCAAAGTGCTGGGATTATAGGCATGAGCCGCTGCGCCTAGCCTGTGTTTTTTTTTTAAATTGGTTGGGGAGAGACAGTGTCTTGCTCTGCCGCCCAGGCTGGAGTACAGTGGCACAATCGCGGCTCACTGCAACCTCTGCCTCCCGGGTTCAGGCGATTCTCCTGCCTCAGCCCCCTGTAGCTGGGATTACAGGCCTGTGCCATCATGCCTGGTTAATTTTTGCATTTTTGGTAGAGAGGGGGTTTCACCATGTTGCTTAGGCTGGTCTTGAACTCCTGGGCTCAAGTGATCTTCCTGCCTTGGCCTCCCAAAGTGCTGGGATTACAGGCGTGAGCCACCGCGCCCAGCCTCATTCTTTTTAATAGGTGTAAAATATACTACTGCGTGGATGTCACCGGTAAATCATTTTACCAATCCCAATAGGAGGGACGCTGAGAGTTTTCAACTCCTTCTGGACCCTGGAGCCCGAACCCACGAGGTGGAGCTCTTCTGAGCTGTGCTGCAGGGACTCACCTTATTTTTTATTTATTTATTTTTTGAGGCAGAGTCTCTCTCTGTCACCCAGGCTGGAGTGCAGTGGCACAATCTCGGCTCACTACTGCAGCCTCTGCCTCCCGGGTTCAAGCAATTCTCCTGCCTCAGCCTCCTGAGTAGCTGGGATCACAAGCATGTGCCACCATGTCCAGCTAGGTTTTGTATTTTTAGTAGAAACGGGGTTTCACCATGTTGGCCAGGCTGGTCTCAAACTCCTGACCTCAGGTGATCCACCTGCCTTGACCTCCCAAAGTGCTGGGATTACAGGTCTGAGCCACTGCACCCGGCCTGTCTTATTTGGGAGACGGCGTCTTGCTCTGCTGCTCAGGCTGGAGTATAGTGGTGTGGTCTCGGCTCACTGCAGCCTCCACCTCCTGGGTTCAAGCGATTCTCCTGCCTCAGCCTCTTGAATAGCTGTGATTACAGGCGCCCACCACCACACCCAGCTGATTTTTTGTATTTTAGTAGAGATGGGGTTTCACCATGTTGGCCAGGCTGGTCTCGAACTCCTGACCTCAGGTGGTCCACCCACCTCGACCTCCCAGAGCGTTAGGATTACAGGTGTGAGCCACCGCGCTCAGCTGACTGACCTTATTTTTGTCTTTAAATGCTTCATGCTTTGTAGGAAAAATAGCTACAACATTAAAACTCGTTTTAATAGGTAACCTAAAAGCTTATGACAATTTGTACTTCCTCTGTTTTAAAGATACCCTTAGCAGTATTAACTTTTCTTCCCTCATAGGAGGTAGAGGAAGATTTTTTGGGATTGAGAATGTTGGTGGGAACACAAGGAATATTATAAAACATTCTCAGATTGTTGTCACCAGAAGGGAAGAACGGATTAGTGAGAAACCATCTCGGCATCTGCCAGGCCCCCGCTCAGTGTGCCTCCACCCGCTGAAGGGTCACTCATTGACACCACTGCCCACAGCAGCTGGGGACCCTCGGGGGTGAGGCCGCGGTGGTCTCGAGCCTGTGCGTGGGCGCCGGCAGCTTCTGTCAGAGCTCTGCCCTGAGGCCCTCCTTGTGCGGCTGTGGTAGAAGGGCCAGGGCTGTGTGGAGACCGCTGTTGGCCCCGTGGCTGCGTTTGCATTCTCTTCCCCCTGCCTCCACCCATCTGCCTGGTCAGTGTTGTCAGAAGGGAGAGCATCTCCATTGCAAGTGGAGGTGACCAGCTGCCTGCCTGCGGGGGCTCGGGTGACCTCCCCTGCTGCGGGTTCCCGTGTTCCTCCTCCCTGTGCTCGCTGTGAGGGTGCAGCTGTGGTGGTTTCTTTTCTGTGTCTCCTGCGTTGTTACTACCTCCGTAACGTGAAATGTAAACCCTGTGAATGAAAAGGAAGCTCTGTCCCTGTCCTCTGCAGGACGGTGCGGGAAGGTGGATGTGCGGCTCATCCCGGACATTGGCTTCTCTTCCCTCTTCCACACGCACAGACCCTCTGGTCTCTGCTCACCTTGCCTTCTCAGCCTTTGTCAGTCCGGCGGTGTCCTAAGGTTACCAGGTGTTCTGAGCATCTTCTTTGAGACTTGATGTCACCGTCACCCAGGCTGGAGGGCAGTAGCACAGTCTTGGCTCACTGTAGCCTCGACCTGTGCTCAAGGGATCCTCCCACCTCAGCCCCCCGAGAAGCTGGGACCACAGGTGCCCAACACCATGCCTGGCTAGTTTTTTGTATTTTTAGTAGACACGGGGTCTCGCCATATTGTCCAGGCTGGTTTCAAACTCCAGGGCTCAAGTGATCCATCTGCCTTAGCCTCCCAAAGTGCTGGGATCACAGGTGTGAGCCCCCATGCCCGGTCTGCCATTGTTTAAAGTTCCTGTGATTAAAGTGGCGTGTTTCTCTTGCAGGAGAAGTATAGCATCGGGGAGCCCACAGTGCCATCCACCCTGGCAGAGGAGTTTACCTACAACCCCTTCATGAGAGTGAGGTGAGGGCCCAGGGCAGGTGGTGGGCGCAGGCCCCTCCCCTCTGGCAGTCCCACTCGTACACACACAGTGGGGTGCATCTGAGACCCCAGATGGCTGAGGCTGCCCTGGGGAGCTGTAGCAGGTGCAGCCGCAGAGCCCCACCACTCTTCTTTAGCGGGGTCCAGCCTTTCCTGGCGCCTTGGTCGGGGCGTGAGTCCTTCTGGACCCTGGAGTTCAGAACCTGTCGGGGGGAGTGGCTGCCGCCTCCCCGCCCTCTGTGTCCTCCCAGGGCTGGGCTACAGCACGAGTCACCTTCCTCTGCAGTGGCCCTGGCTGCTCAGGTGGGCGGTGGGCGTGGCTCTGCACAGCCTGCAGCCCGGTGCCGGCCTCCGCAGGGAGAAGACGGTGCAGCAGCACGCAGGTGAGACGGACCCGGTGACCACCATGAGGGCCGTGCGCAAGGAGAAGGATGAGTTCAAGATGCCCCGGGACTGAGGCCGCCCTGCACCTTCAGAGCATTTGGTCAAGATGCCCCAGGACTGAGGCCGCCCTGCACCTTCAGAGCATTTGAGGATGAGGCTCTTTTAGGTAACTGGCTTTCCTGCTGGTCGCGCAAGAAATTCAGTCTTGATTTAACCTTAATTTCACAGCCCTTGGCTTGTGTTATTGGATGTTCTAATGCATATTTATAAGAGAAGTTTAAAAAGTATTTATTCCCATAACTCACACTTGCAGACTGTTTTCTTCTGGCCTTTAGGCCTCCCCTCATTCCCTCGGGCCTTCTTCCTCCTCTTCTTCCTCCCCCGTGAGCCACTGCAGTCCCCCCACCCATGCTTCAGGTCAGGACCCCGGGGGGCGGGGTACTCTCTCCCTGGGTTTCCTGGCTCTGTAGGAGAGAGGATACCTGGGGTGCCCTGGGTTCTTCCTCCCTCCCTTTGCCACCAGCACCCCACCTCAGAGGAATAGACACCTTTCTGGCTCCCAGGTCACTGTCACAATCTGCGTTGACATGGGATGAGTGGTCTTGGGCCCTTCGAGAGCAGAACCCCCTCCCACCGGGGCCATGGGCTCTCCAGCATTGCTGCCGTCCTGGGCTGGGGAAGGCGGCTCGGTGTTTGTGCCTGAAGCAGGCGGGGGCTCCTCACCAAGTTTCCTGCCCATGCTCGGGGGCTCTGGCTCAGCTGGAGTGGCCGCTGTGGCCGTGCCTGTGCTGTCTCCTGTCCCAGCATGGGGGTGGCCGGGGCTGCAGGAAACCGTGCCCGAGCTGCCCAGAGCCTCTGCCTCTGGGCAACGTGGCACTGGCACCACGCTCATTCCCATGCCCCATGCCACCCTTGTCCCTTCAAAGGCTGCCCTCACAGGTCTTCCTGGGGAATCCCGAGGGTTGTGATGGCACACTGCCCCGTGTCACCCCGGGACTCCTGTCTGTGGGCGTGAGCCGGTGCCTTTGCTGTGGCTGGGTGCCGATGCGACTGTCAGACCCACGGCTGCGGTTGGCACCTCTGCAGCCCGTGCCTGTCTGATCTGCTCAGGTCCCCCTGGCAGGGAGAGGTGGCTGTGTCTTCTTCCTGGAGGCGGCCAGATCCCGCGACCTCCAGGCAGTGCCCTGCTCAGCAGCACCCCCAGCCCCGTCTCTGCTTGGAAAGCACAAACCGCCCTCTGGGGAAGCAGCCACCTGGGGAGTGCTCGGCCTGTGACCCCAGGAGAGCTAGGTGGGTGGCCACATGTCCTGCCCAGGCTCTGCGTGTGCCTCGCGGCAGAGGGTCTACGAGGGAAGGGCAGGAAGAGGCAACCCCTAGGGCTAATCTGAAACTTAAAAAATGTATGAGGGCTGGGCACGGTAGCTCATGCCTGTAATCCCAGCACTTTGGAAGGCCGAGGTGGGTGGATCACCTGAGGTCAGGAGATCGAGACCATCCTGGTCAACATGGTGAAACTCCATCTCTACTAAAAATACAAAAAAAAAAAAAAAATTAGCCGGGCGTGGTGGCGGGCACCTGTAGTCTCAGCTACTCGGGAG